AAGTTAAGATCATGTTCCATGAAGATATTTAGTAATTTCCTACTGTAAATATATCAAAACTTAATTTTTGATTAGTAATATGCATTGCTAAGAACTTCATTTGGACAACTTTAAAGATGATTTTCTCAATATTTAGATTTTTTTGCACCCTCAGATTCCAGATTTTCAAATAGTTGTATCTCAGCCAAATATTGTCCTATCCTAACAAACCATACATCAATGGAAACCTTATTTATTCAGCTCTCAGATGATGCATAAACCTCAATTTCGAGAAATTGACCCTTATGACTGGTTTTGTGCTCCAGGGTCACACATGAGGTTTATCAAGCGATCTCTTCAGAAGGTTTAGATTAAACCGCTGGATTCATACGGATCACTTTTATGATGTCTTTATGTACTTTCTGAAGCTTGAATATGTTGATTATGTAGACTTTCAAAGAATGGACAAAAATGATGGTTGATCATAACAAGTTTGTGTTCCAAATGAACGTCTGAGCGAGTCATTGATGACTGAATGGACTAACACTTCTATCTGAGCTAGTTCTGGTTAGCAGCAGAGTGTCCATATGCGTTTTGAAAAGTGGGGACATGGGGTAATGTCCTGAAAAGTCACCTTCTCCTTGTAATACCTATGTCATACCCTTGTCATTATACAAATTTATGTCCTCATTTGTCACAAAAACATGCGCACTCACACACACACACTGGGGAAGCTAATCACGTACAACACGAGTAACAGAGCATCACGCACAGGTGAAGGTGCTGTTAAATTACTGAAATATTTATCTGAGGTGTTTAGAACTTAGCCAGCTAACATGGCTACATTCATGCTGAGAGACAAGTGAAAAAGAAAAAAGAAAATTAATAAATGACTAAACTATATATATATATATATACAACAAATAAAAATGAATCTTTTATGTTTTGTTTGTTTGTTTAAATATCTAAAATTAAATCAGGCCTCACTTCATTGAAAATCTTTTCATAAGAATCAGCCTCAAAGTAAAGAGTCCTAAAGGAGTTACAGTGCATCAAAATATATTTTATATCAATATACTTTTTATTAATATTTTGATTTATTTTTCAAAATATAATAATAATAATATTTTAATTTAATAATATTTATTTTTAATAATAATAATAATTTGAATTATTTTTTTTATTTTTATGTCATTTTAAAATAAGTTTCATTTTAATTTTCATTAAAGTTTTAGTAATTTTGTTGCATGCTTTTTTTAAGGTTTAGTTTGTTATTTTAGTACATCAAGTTAAACTAAATGAAAAATGAGAAATATTGTCTTGGCAACTAGCAGAATTTTAATTTTTTTTAAATTTCAGTTAAAGTTTATTTTATTTCAAATTTTAAGTAACTAAAGTTATTTACGGTTTTAGTTTTAGTTAACCATAGTTTTAGTTTTTAGATAACTATATATGACTTTAGCTGAAACCGACTCTGTAAGGCTGCTTTGACACAATCAGTATTGTAGAAAGCGCTGTACAGACAAAGCTGACTATAGTGTACAGGTAACGTACCACCGGTAGGGTGAGCCAGGTGGCCACGATGCGGTCGGTGACCCAGCGGTACCAGGCGGGCGAGAGCAGCATGAGCGGCAGAACCGGACCCAACATGAAGATGCTGCCGAAGAAACTGCCCAGAAACAGAGTGAGGAGGAAACACAGGCCCCTGAGGGACACCATCGCCCCGTCCTGAAACACACAGCACAGATCACTGCAGACACACATTCACATCTATTCAGCTCCGCTGTTTTCTGTGTAGCTGTACAGTGTGAGTTTGTGAGAGCGTCATATTGTCTCTAGAGGGACGCTGCCGAGATGAAGATGAGACGACATCAGTCTGCCGTCAGCTTCTTCATCAACGGTGCAGCTCATGTTTTCTTTTCCTCGTAACAGTGGAAAATGTGATACGTGAGTGAAGAGTGCTGATGCTGACAAAACACACGATTACGTGCAGCTTCAGCACACACACACACACACACACACACACAC